TACATTTGTTAGAACAGATATCAGAGTCCGCAGGATACCATACACCATTAAATCCATCCCTCAAACCGCTTCTGAGGGGAGAACTGTGGTTAGCTTATATCCGCCATTATAAATGTATGAATCTCATAAGATGGCATAATAACTACATAATCTTGCATGAATTCTACGCAAATCCTATAACATAGGAAGAAAGGCTGATCTAGACACATTTTGTCAAACATGTGATAAACTTTTGATTTACTCTTTTTGAGGACAGTTGGTGCTTTAAATGTATGAAGTTTTCTAGTATTGGTGCTGATTACTTTCAAGTTGTTGCCACTAATCAAAGAAATGAAGTCGGCAAAAAGGGTGAAATGCAAATAGTTGGAAGGACCTAAACAGTAGAACAGGCAAATCATTGACAAAGTTCATTTAGAGAATTTTAGAGGAAAAGAGAACTTGCGTAGAAGGCTTATTTTGTCTGGTAATTAAACAGCGACTTCCTTTTTCTATCTGTCGCCCGCAATCGTCGACTTAAGTAGACATAATGACGGTTAAACGCACATGTACTTTTAGTATAACTCTAACTTTGCAAAATAAGAATTTTTTTAGAGATAAAAAGGAACGAGCTTCTGTTTCCAAAATTTGGAACTTTTCCTGTCATCATCGTTTGAGTTGTGGAGATATTATGAGGGATTTTCAAGTTTCAATCACTCCCATCACTCACAATTTTATATTCATATTCAGTTTTCTCGAAATCGCTTAGTCTCTTCTGAGCATATTTGTTTCCAATCTCTTAAACGCGTACATATGTTGTTTTTACTCCTTTCTTACCTATGTGGCAAAGCACAGTCATATCAATCACTGAATAGGCTTACAAATTTACTCGTTTCACTAATTTTTAATGAACAAATAGACGCTAATTAAGATCCTAAATCACATACTCGCATCGTCTTTACTTTCTTGCAAAGCGTCGCTTTTCAGTACGCTATGGAAAGTTTTTTAAGGTATCAATCTAATTTCCGACATTGATCATTCACGCACCTTAGTTGCGTATCTCACCATGAAACGATTTTTTGAAGTTATTCATTTATTAAAAATCAGCTCGAATCTTGATAAATTGTTCAGCAGCATGTCCTACCGAAAAGATAAATATCAAGGACTGATTTGAAATAACTTTGTCTTGATTTGATGACTTTTCGCAGCCTGCTGTATAAAGTTGGAGTTTCTATGAAAATATACTTTACGGATTGTAAATACAATTCTTGATTGTCTCAATAGATTTTCGATGTAACTTTTAAGCTTTTGAAAACTATGACTAATACAAACCTGATGCAGATCTCGTTTTATCCCTTCTGGCCTTCCAAATTTTAGCACATCAATCAACGTGTGCATAGTACATGTGCTGCCTTTTTCAACATTCCTGGGGATTTTTCTTGCATTCCAGGGAAAATGGTCGATTTTTCTCTCTGGGATTAAGGTTTTTTTATTACGAGTGTAAACACAGCTCTGATCAGGTGCACATGCAAAAATAGTCGTATTTATAAGGCTCGTTAGATGCTCTCATTTGCTAGAACCCAGGTAGTAATATATGTAGAACTTGTAAACTTTTTAGGCGAAGCTTATTGCATTGGCGTTTCTACTTAACATCCAGTTGGGATTTTCTTTAAATTCTTTAATCTGCTTGCACCGGATTTGCTTTGTTGGACAGCTTAGCATAAATGTTTGAAATGAGGGTTAAGTCAAGTGGAGTAGATTTTAGTAAGGAGGGAGGAATTGGAAAGCAGTAAACATTTATTATTTCTTTCACAAAGTCATTGAGCTCACTTTTTCTTCTCAACTTTAGATGTTCAAATAATGTAGTTATTTTTCATTTCAGCTTGGTTCGATTATCTTTATGTAATTGTGCTTTTCTTATGCACAATTTCTCTAACTTCTAGTTCCAATGTTTAGTTGTTTTCAAATATCCAGCTGCTCCTCGTGAATTTGTCTAGTTCATGTCGTGCATAACCGCCATATATCACTATCATACAGAATTACCAAATAAGGGTGAAATGTAGAGATTTGCCGTTCAGTACCTCGTCGCGTTACACACAAACGTTCATCCAGCCACAG